GATTACAATTTTGGTAATGTAAAACCAACGCGATTGGGGGACTATTGTTCGTAGCGATGCCCTACATCGTTGTTCGACACTTTCTGTGCATACAAAGATATCGCACATTTATTCATCCATGTACACGATGTTACATAGGTAACGGGAATTTCGTTAATTCAGGATCCTTGATATGGTACAACCTGCTTTCGTTTCGTCTAATAATTATTACACCGATGTACACGTGTTTCTATCCGCTTCTATCCTTATCGCTTATTCAATGCATTGCAAAAAGAAAAGAAAAAATATACGAGTATTACATATCTTAATACTTAAACAGGAATAATCGATCGATAATTAATTTATCCGAGAAAACTTCTCCGTGCATCAGGAGAAGAGGAAAAAAAAGATGGAACGAAAAATATTGGCACTGGTTGGATTAATATTATTTCTCAAGTGTACGGATGGCGAAAACGGTGAAAACAGGGATAATAACGAGCATTTGTTCTCTCATCATCGGCAGAAAAGATTGCTTTGGATAACTAACGATGGTCGAATTGCTTTACCACCAGGCACGATAATGACGATAACTCCAACATTGGCATTACCATTTGTCAGATATCCTCCCTATGGTTTTCTTAGCAACATGACTATCAGTCTTCCTTTTACTAGTAAGTAAATATCACTCGATCTCTTTTTACCGATCTTATTTCCTTTCATGCCTGATATATTAATCTCTTTATCTCTTTTATTGCAGTCGATTTCGACAAACTTGGTTTAACCGACAATGAAAATCCTTATGGCGTTTTACCATCGGCGTTTGACACTACTGCGAGAGAGCAAGGATCGAATGCCGCGGAATTTATCGCGATGTTCGTAAAACGTGGAATCGGTAAAAGAGAGGCGATTCGAGATCTACCAAAAAATATATTTTATGGAGGTGAAAGAGCACTTTTGTATGGTACCGCCGAGGATATGCTCGGAAATTTTGGTTTAAATGGGAAAGCTTGTTTATTAAGGGCTATATGCGAAGTACAAGGACATCCTTTGAATAATTTCGGTTTGATCGGAGAGATGCTCAAACTATTTTTCACGTAAGTACTTTTCATATATATAAATAATGCAAGATATAAATGCATGTTATAAATACCTATATAAGTAAATAATAATAAAAATAATTTGTTTTTTTAATACGTATAATACACTATAAATAGTTAGAAATTTCTCGCGTTAAAAATTGTTTATTAATTTTATCGATATTGATAGAATATAATTGAAAAAAAAATTGATACGCGACATTTTTCTCCATTTCTCGAGATATCGTAACATTGGCAAAATTTTTAAGATTTTATGATTAAAAAAATACAATTTAAGAGAAGATAGCGTAAACAAAAGAAATTTTTTAGAATTCGATATATTTTTATATGTTTTATACTTTTTATATTTTTTACTCGTGTTTTGTTTTGCCGTGTTCTAAAATAACTAAATTTGATCATATTCTTAAATTTAATAGCAAAATTTCATATATTTTTTTTTATGTACTTATCATTGTTTTATATTTATTTATTTATACGCATTCGAAATTATTTAAGAATATAAAAAATGTACATAGAGAATATAAATGTATATATTCGACGCATAAAAATTTAAAAATTTAAAATATAAAATGCATATAAAATAAAATAAAAATATATACAAAATATATATGTATATATATATAAACGTAAAATAAATTTTATAAATTTTTAGAAAGCAAATCGAAAATTTAAATATCCGTAGTGCTATCATGCATTTGAATATCCGACACTTCAATTTGTTGTTAGTATATTACAGCATGCGCAAAAAGATAATCGTAATATCAGAGATAAAGAAAATATATGTGACAACGATAGAACGAATGCCAGTAATTTTAATTATATATTTCTTAATATCTTTTTTCCGTAGATGATAAAAAACGTAATATTGAAAATTAATTGATAAATAATTTTCTATTAAAAATTTTTGCATATTTATATTCGTATTTCAAAGATAAAATTTTCAACAATTTTCTTGTATATTTTTGTAATTTTATGAAAAATTCATTTCGATTAATTATTTATTAATGGTTATCATAAAGAGTATTCGAATTTTAAATTTTAATGTAAATTGAATTGTAAATTTTTATCGAGTAAGAATCAATTTATTCTTATGAGCAATAATATAAATTATTTGTAAATATAAATATAATTAATAAATTATTAATAATAAAAATTATATCAGAATATAGAAAAACAAGTAACATTTGAGATCTTACGATAATGTGAAATTAATGAAAAATGTGTATGTGTGTATATTAGTCGTATCGATTCTTGCGCGATGAATTAATTATTGGTAAATAATTGATTAAAGAATTTTATAGGAGAAATTTCTTTAAAGAATTGTCAGATTCAAATGCGAATTTAAAAATGTAAAAATGTTTGAAAATGTAAAAAATTATTGATTAATTTTCAATGTTGTATTTCTAACAAGATATCAGATATATAATCGAATATAATGGTATATTTTTTTGTTTTTCTTACGTTTTTTATTTATGACATCACGTACTTACTAATGCATTCTGCTATATTAATAACAAATCTTCGGATATCGAAATGCGAAAAATAATGATAGATCGATATATATATATATATTATATTCTGAGATCAATCGAAAAAATTTATTGATATTTGCTTGTCTAATTTAAAAATAAATTTTATCGATAATTTATGAGATTAACGCGATTGAAATTCTATAATATAAAATATATTTAAAAATATCTAACAAATAAATATTTTAAGTAAAATTGTATATTATGTAAATGTTCAAAAATGAAAAATTTGCAAAAATATTTTAAAAAGTTATTAAATTTATAAAAGTCATGAAAAGAGAATATTTTTTCTTTTTTAATAAGATATATATATAAAATATATGTAAAATATATTACGATATATCAAAATAATAATGAAATATGTACATAATAAAAAGCATGTGTATCCGCATATTCATGAATTAAAAATGGATTCAAGTTCGGTTTCATTTATTATACGTGTACATCTGTATTTAAATATGTATGAAATATCTATGCATAAGTATTTATTCTTTTTATTCCGTTTTCTTTTTATATTTATCATTTTATTATTTTTAAAAATAAAATTATTCCAAGTTCTTTCGTAATAAATTTTTATTACAGTGCTAGTAAATCACCATTTTCAAATCTTTTGAAAGAATATGTTGAGGCTGAAAATAGAGGCAAGTTTCATGGAGAGTGTTGGCCTTATTTTAAAGATTGTCCAAAATCATTATTTCGTTCGTCAGAAAATAAATATATGTATGTAAAAACATATAAATATTTTATATTTATAAAATATAAATAATATATTTATATAATATATAAATGCAACGAATTATATATTATATTATATATTATATATCATATTATACTTCAATATAATAACAAATTTATTTTAGAAATTATTAGATATTATATATTGTTTTCCAGAAAAGATGCCTTTCACGAAGATATTGTAACTACCGAAACAGATGAGATAGAGCAAAAAAATCGATATTTTCCTTCCACTTTGTCAATGGACCGAATACGGAAAGAAAATCAATTTTCTGAAAATATTAAACACACGATACGATTAATGTAAATAAATCGTTTGAAGCCAGACAATATACTATACTACTACTTACTATGTGTATATATATCTTAGAATGAATACAAACTATCTTAAAATGATACAAACAAACAAAGGGCAATTAAAATCATTAAGAATCATAAAAAAATTATATATAAAGATAAGTTAAGAATCAAAAGTTTTTAAACTTGATTTATATACTCTAAAATAAAAAAGTTTTTTTCTATATATATATAAATATATGGAATTACTTCTACATTATACTATTATTTTTAAGATTTTATATTTTTTCGATTCAAATCGAAGAAAAATTTTTGTAATAATGTTATGCGCATGTTCTATTTTTCGTCAAACACATAAATAATATATACATTTTATATGTATACATTTTTCCTTGATAAAAAAAGATCTTTTAAAATCAATTGACCATCATTACCGCTTGTAATTATGAAAATTTGAAAGTTAGAAAGAAAATAAGTTTTCTCGACTTAATAAAAAATAAAATAATTATATTTTACGCTTTATTGGCCTCCATTGAATGTTTCTAATCATGTGGCCAACATCATGTGTATACACGTGCACTATTTTTTTACGCCATATTATATTTAGTAATTTATGTATTTATGTCGTTTTATATTATAATAAAAATAAAAATATAATGTTGTCAACTATTAAAAATTATATAAATCGATGGAATTTATATTCCAATCTTTTTTTATTCTAGCAATATATGTTAAAATGAATGTTTATTTATTTATAATTTATTTCTTATAATTTATCGTAATAAATTTGATTTTCAATATTATTTTTAATTTAAAGAATATGCATATTAAATATATAATCGATTGTATTTTTTAGAAATTTATATCTAAAACATGATTAAATCAACCTCATGATATATTCATGTGATATATTCATATTATATCATATACATATATATATCAATTACATATATATATATATACATATATATATATATATGTATGTATAATAAAAGGAGAATTTTTTATTATTTCTGATTACAATCGTTTATACTTTTTAAAAGTACTAAAGATTTTAATAAGCACACAAGATTAAAAAAAAACTATAATATAATAAAAGTTTAAATAGTATGAATATTTTTGCATTAAATAGAAATGAATTAAAATCAAGAAAGAAATCAAATAATAAATCAAATAAGAAAAATAAAAAATTGGAAATAAATAGAATAGATAAAAATTAAAAAATAAAAATTGAATCGAAATTATCGTATTTCTCTAATTAAATTTTAATATTGATAAGATGTATATTACAGATAAATTGTATTTCCAATACCGAAAACTTGGTAACTTAATACATTTCATACATAGTAAAATGTAAATTTTAATAATATTATTGATTTCGTGTCCTTTTATCGCCATCTTTAATAAATTCTTACTGTGGAATTTCACCGTGTTTTATTACCTCAAATCAATTTGGTATGTACATAGTTAATTATCAATTGTCAAGAGTTTTAAAACTTGCCAAAAGTGTCATAGAATGATAATGTCTTTCCATATTATTCTTCTTTAACATACTTCTATTTATATTTATAGCATTTAAAATATGTAAGTATTTTTGTTTGTCCTTGTAACTTAACCTTTAAATTTAAAATTTTTTTCATTTTGATATTTTTGTTATTGTGTTATTTTCCTAAAGCGACATGGCTTGTGAAGCTTGTAACGTAAAATTCAACTTCTTTACACGGAAGGTAAGATCATTCTGTTATTTTGCTTTTTAATTTACAAATATGGATTAAAAATGAATACTTTGTACATTTCATGAAACATTTTCAGAAACAATGTATGGATTGTTTGAGATATTTTTGTTCTGGATGTGTGATCAAAAGATTAGACAAGATATTAAGTTGTGAGAGTTGCAATATGTTGTCGAGAAGGCCTTTAATACGAAGTCTAATCATACAAATGCGTTCTAAAGATATACAACGATATCTATTGGCAAAAAAAATACCTATTAAAGGATGCATTGGTATGTATATTGAAACAAAAAATAATTTCAAATTTCAATATTATTGATCAATATTCTTCTTATATAAAAATATTTAATATTTATAATTTTTCATGATAAATTTTAATTAACATTTTCTGTTTTTCTATTGATTTTAATTACAGAAAAAGAAGACTTAATAAAATTGTTAATGGCATTTGCTAATAATTCTAGTGATTATTGGAATACAGAAGATGCAGAAAACATTAGAAGTAGAAATATGTAAGTTTTTATTTTGTTGCATATAATAAAGATTCAAAAAATTTTGTATTGATTATCAAAATTTATATATATATATATATATTATACTATAACTAATTATAAAAATTAATTATAAACATTAATATCTTAGATTTCTGTTCTAAGAAACCATATGTTTCTCTGCTGCGTTATATTTTTTTACAAAAAAATTATTTAAAATTATAGATATTTTTATCGTGATTAAAAATTTAAAAAATATTGATATTTATTTAATTTTAATTTCAGTGGTAATTCTCCTTCTAATCAATCAACAACTAGAAGCTATGAACATAGTACACAACTTTTTAATAATGATGAAATCAATGCTGCAAGAATTGATGATAATGAAATATCAGAGGGAATTTCTCCTATTAATTCTTATTTGGATAGAAGAACAGAATCTATAAGTACAGAAGAGAAGATTTCAAAAATTTCTAATATTCAACATTCTGATATAATTGTAGAAAGTTCCATGGTATGTAATTATAGTTATATTATTTTATAATATTAATTTTCTATGATATTTGTATATAATAATATTTTTTTCTTTTTATTTTTCTCTTTTGTGTTATAAAGAATCCTATTAAATTATCCGATATAAATACATTATCTGAATTGGAATGTTTAAGTGTGAAACAATTAAAGAACTTGTTAAGTATAAATCGAGTTGATTATAAAGGTTGCGTAGAAAGATATGAATTATTGAATAAAGCTTCCAGATTATGGGAAGAATACAAACAATCGAGGACGAGTAAGTTATAATTTCTTTTTATTAAATATTTAACTTTTTAAGTATAAAAAATTTTAATTTGTGTATTTTATTATCAATAGAAATGGAAATTTTGGACGAAAATCTTTGCAAAATTTGTTGGAATGAACCACTTGAATGTGTAATTTTAGAATGTGGTCATATGGCTTGTTGTCTAAATTGTGGTAAACAAATGTCAGAATGTCCGATATGTAAACAATATGTAGTGCGTGTAGTGCGATTTTTTAAAGCTTAAGAAAAACACAACAATATATGATATTATGGAATTATATGTTCAATACAGAAAATAAGAAAAAGGACGAATATCATATTGTTCTGATATTTCAGATTTAGCAAAATAATATATATATAATTTTTTGGCGTATTTTATCAATATCGTAGATTATAGTAATTAAAATGAGATACAATCTTTTATATTAATGTAAGAATAATTTTATTTAAGAATATAAATGAAAATAAAAGGATGCTAATTATTCGAATATTTATTTTTTTAGGTATTTCTATTGTAATCTCTTTATTTGAGATAATATTAAATATTAAATATTAAAATATGTGTCCTTTTATTCTCATTTTAAATTGATTGAAAATAAGTTGATTGAAATCACTGATCTTAACGTTGTGACCTCTTTTTGTAAATTCAAATTTACTGAATCACTAAGTTGAATTAAGCACATTATCCATTATACATAATGTAACAATATGTATATAAGTAAAACATTTAAAATCATATAAAATTAAAAACTTTTAATTATTTAAAATTATATACTATTTTATTTTATCAAAATATTCTTTATCACTTTGTAAAAAAATTTATTCAATATATATGAGCAAAAATTTATTAATTATGTATATATATAATAATAATACAATAAAAATTTTTTATTGATATGTATTACAATTTTATATTATTTATTAATATTTATTAATAATATATGTTTTATTAGAAAAAATTTAAGTCAACGAAAGTATGAACTTATGATAAATTGATTTTATTTTATTTTTTATCTTATATAATTAATCAATATAAAGAAAATATTCATTTCAAATTCTAATGAAATTTGTATAAGTATTTTTTTTTTTTTAATATAAAGACGGAAAACAACGGAAAAAAAAAATAAGTATAATAACGGAAATAATTAGATCGTAAAAAAATCTTCAAAATAAAATTTTTTTTTATAAATCATTATAATTTCTTTTTCTTTTATTTCTATCTATAATATATCACAAATTATAAAGTTTAGCTTTATTTTGATTATGTTTTATTTATATTTAATTACTAGTTACATTGAATATACTGTATATAAATATTTCAATATAGTCGAAGTAATACATAGAGAGAAAAGGAATGCTTGATATAAGTGATACAAATATTTTTTAATATTAAAAAGTTTCATAAAATTATATAAAAATTATATAATACTTTTCCTATAATGAACAATTGATTTAATATTAATAAAAGTCATTATTTAATCTTTTAATAATATAATAAACAATGAATCAGGCAAAAATTGAAAAACTAGTTTCTAAAATAAGATATAATATTAGATCAGATCCACGTAAATTAAAAAATATAGATGGTCCAGAGGGAAGATTACGAAAAATTAAAAAAACATTAACTGCTGTAATTAAATATGAGAGGATTGAGTTGAATTATGCGAGAGCAGATGAAACAAGAGGTTATGTCGAACAGGTAAATATGATAAATTTTTTAAAATTCTTCTAATTAATCATATTTTATAATTCTTCTTTATTGCAGTTAATATCAGAAGCATTACGTCATGGCCCTCATCACAAAGAAACTATGGAACTTGCAAATTTTTGGATAATTGAAAAACAATTTATTCATAAACTTTTTAAAGTACTTGTACCAAGATACGAAAATTATACAACTTCATTTACAAAACTTCATAATGCACCATGTATATATCCTGGATATGCATTTAAGAGAGCTATTTTAGAATTAAAAGGTATATTTTGTACAAATTTTTATTTGTTTATACTTATGAAAAATTTTAATTTATTTTAATTTATTAATATAATTTTTTTAAGGAAATATATATCCCGCTATAGAACAATGTAATCCAAATCAGCATAATTTACTTCATAATATATTACTTGATGCAGCTAGAAAAGAACATAGATTAGAAAAATATAAAGAAATAAGTACTAATATGAATTTATAAGTGTATGTATTTTTTATTATCAAATAACATAAAAAATATATTAATATATAAATATATTACATAAATAATATTAATATAGATTATTAAATATAATTAATTTGATTTGTTATTATTATTTTCTTAAATTTGTTTAATTAAACTATTCATTATTTTGATTATTTGATTGTTTGAAAAGATGCAATGGATAATATTTGTGAAATTCATTAACATGCTTTTCCATAGAATGCACTTGTTTCCTGAAATTAAAACAATATATTTATAATGAAAAAAATTTATCTTGAGCATTCACTCATAAAATATAAAATATTTTAAAATTATTATAAATTATATTATATTTTAAAATATTTAATTAAAAAATTTGCAAATGTACCATATATGATTTGGCATTGTATGATATACATCTGTAAATAATTCTTTCCAACATGGTTTAAGTTCTTTTTCTGCTTCAGCAAAAGCAAGTAAAATGGAATTTTTTATACACTTGTTTAATTCTCTATCTCGCTCTTTATTCCACAAACCAATTGATTCCAAATAATTACGATATCGTAGTATTGGTGTATAATAATTCCAATGATCTATTTCGTCAGTAGATCGATATACAGTACTATCATCAGAAGTACTGTGATGACCAATTCTAAAAGACAAAAAAAAATGATAAAAAATATTTTAAAAAATTAATGTGTACAAAAAAATTTTTTCATACCGATAAGTCATAGCTTCAATCAAATAAGGTTTTCCATTTTTAATGCAGAGTTCACGAGCAGTTTTTGTTGCATAATACATAGCAAGAACATCATTACCATCCACACGAATCGTTGATATTCCATATGCCGGTCCTCTTGCTGCAATTCCATCTCCTTTAAATTGTTCTTGAGTAGGAGTTGAGATTGCATAACCATTATTGCGACTAAAAATAGATTATTTTAAATTATTAAAAAATATTTTTTTAAAAATAAATTTTATATATTTTCATACCATATAAAAATTATTGGACACTCTAAAATTGCAGCAAAATTAAAAGCTGCATGAGCATCTCCTTCACTAGCAGCTCCTTCACCAAAGTAACATATTGTACAAGCATTTTTTTGAGATCGTTTGAATGCATATGCTGTACCTACAGCTAAGAGTGAACAGACTCGGATATTAAAATTATCAGAATTATATGCTGATAATATAATAATTTCAATCAGATATTTTTATGTTTTTATGTTTTTAAAGAAATTATATAATTTGATAATAATATCTATAATCTATATTACCTTGAGGTAATTGTGTTGTTAAAGGAGATGAAATAGTAACAAAGTTTAATTTTTTTGATCCATAATGAACAGGCATTTGTTTTCCCTTTGAGGTATCTTTATGATTACCATAGCATTGATTCATAAAATCTATAATAGAATATCCTCGCCATAACAAAACACCTATGAAATTTTTTTATATTAAATTATATTCATTTTAAATATATATTATTAATTGATCAAAAATTAATATTTTATACCAGCTTCTCGATATTGCGCATATATAATATCTTCTAATGTAAGAGCAGCTGCAGAACCAATTTGAATTCCTTCTTCTCCTGTATTAGTCATATAAAATGATATACGTCCTTGTCGTTGAGATTCATAAAGTATTTTATCCATTATATTCAGAGTAATCATTTTATGATACATTTTAATCAAAATTTGTTCATCTAGCTTAAGAAGAAATAGAGAAAGAAAATGAGATATTATATAAAATTTATTTATATAAAATCTTAATAAATATTAATTATAGTTCAAACCTTAAGATCCTTTGGTAATTGAAAATGTTTATGTAATGAGTTTAAAATTCTAAATGTTGGTAAAGAATCATAGCATTCTTTGTTGACAAACTTTAATTCATTAGTAAATATAGTTTGAATTCCCAAAAAAGACGGGTCTTTTTCATTCATTGTATCAACAATTTTAATATTTGTAGTTTTATTACTATAAAATTTTTGCACCTAAATACGTGATATAAAAAAAAAATATTTTTGCATTATTTATTACTTTTTTATCTTTTATAAATACCTACCTGATGCAATAAATATCTGTTACCATTTTTTAAATATATACGTTTAAAAAAAATTTTTTCAATCATTGTTTTAAAAATAATTTTAATCAATAATATCCAAATCTTTATTACAATAATTATTTTAAAATTTACGTATCATTTCGCGTAACATGTATTCAAATAAATAGTCACTATACAAGTTGTTTAAATACTTATTTACAAATGCGCATTATAATTGAAGAAGGAAGAAAGGTCATAAGAGTAAGAAAAAACGAGAAAAAGAAAAGGAGAAAAAATATAAAATTTGTGTTCGTCGTAAAAGTGCATATATTCAATGATAAGATGTATTAAGGAATATTATATTTTTTTTTACATATGTATTATTATATATATTAATAAAAGTGTTAAATTTTCGTAAATAATTGAAAGAAAAATAATTAAATATTTTATTCGATAAAAAACAATTCAATATTTAGTATAAACATAACCTCTTTCTTCTAAATACAAATCTTATATTAATCTTTTTCTATATATTAAATATCTGTCTTGAAGATACTTTTTTTAGAAAAAATAAAATATTTTATTGTAAATAGAAAAAAAAGATGGATTCTTGGGAAAATTCAGATCTATATGAATTATTAGGTATAGAGAAAACAGCTTCTATTCAAGAGGTATAAATATTTTATAAAATTTGTTGAAATTGAAAGTATATATTATATTAAGTGCATATTATTTCAGATCAAGAAAGCATATCGTAAAAAAGCTCTGTATTGTCATCCTGACAAAAATCCAAATAATCCAAAAGCAAATGAATTATTTCATAAATTGTCACAAGCATTAGAAATTCTTAGTGATGTATCTGCTCGGGTAAGTATAATAATAATATAATAATAATAATAAGTATACTATTTTTATATTTCATTAATATATTTCTTGTCTTTCTTATTAATGATATCTCATCTACAAAATAAGGCAGCTTACGATAAAGTTATTAATGCAAAGCATCAAGCAAAATTACGTGCTAAAGAATTTGATTCAAGACGTAAGAAATTGAAAGAAGATTTAGAAACACGAGAAAATGCCTACAAAATAGATTCTGATATTAGAAGAGACAAAAATAAATTACAGGTATTCTTAAGTTTATATGTATCATAATTTGCTTTTTCTGTATAATATTATTACAATCTCATTATTGCAGATTGAAATAGAAAGATTACAAAAGGAAGGATCGAAACAAGTAGAGGAAGAAATAGCATTTATGAAAAAATATTTTGAAGAACGATCAAAGACATTTCATAAGGAATCAGAAATTGATAGTAGTTCTTATAAATTAAAAGTGAAATGGAAATCTCGTAAAAGTCAATCTAATAATAATGAATATGATTATGATACATTGTATCAAATATTTTCGAAGGTTTATATCATTATATCATTATTATGACATTTATTATTGTTTATATTTATTATAGTATTTTGTAATTATTTTTTTTGTCAACAAATAACACAATTATAATATATATTTATTTTATTTTTTAGTATGGAAACATAACTGCTCTTATTATCTCTTCCACTAGAGAAGGCAGAGCATTAATAGAATATAGAGAAAAAAATGAAGCAGTAAGTTATTATTTATTTTGAGATAAAAAATATATCTGTTCATTTTATTTAATTGTTTAATTTGAGAATAAAATTATATTTTTTATTAGGAAATGGCTTTAAATGAACTTGGTTTAACACAAAATCCATTGAAACTTCAAAAATTATGGGATGAACAAAAAAAATCAAATATTTTTAATACAGGCACTGTTTATAATGATATTACACAACATACGGTAAATATAGCAAATAAGCAATTGATAATAATTAGTAGTAATAATAAATAATATTTTTTTTAATAAATAATAACAATACTTTTTAATTTTTTATATTTATTTATTTTATAATTTTTTTATATTTCATTTCATATCAAATCTTATATGACAGGTAAATCAAAACATGTCAGATATTGAATTTGAACATTCTGTATTGAATAATTTAAAAAAAGCTGAAGAAAGGAAAAGATCTCTAAAAAAATTGAATGTAACAGAAAGCATTTGATTAAAGCTTTTGTAAGCATTTAATCCAATATATTAATTATTTTAAATTATTAAGCTGCATTTTTCTATAAATATCGAAAGTGTATTGGTATATACAAATTAAAAGATATTGTACTTTATTCATTATTATATTATATTAATTTGTAAATATGTATCGTCGTATAATTAATAAAAAAAATGTTAATCTTCTCTAATATATTTATGAGAGATTTGTTTCATCAACATATTGAATTTATTATTATCTATAATACTTAGATAATAGTTCATCATTTTTATTTAAAGAAATTAAAAGGTGACATCTTTCCGTTCTTTTTGTCTTTTTTGTTTTTTTAATTCTGTTTCGTCAATAGGAGCTGATTTAACAAATGGAATTTCATTTTCATATTCCATTGGCATAAACTGTGCAAGAACCTTTGGAACTTTGATACCAGTATCAGTTTGATGTACTTCCAAAATCGCACATATAACACGAGTAACCGCACACATTGTTGCATTTAACATATGAACATAATCTGTATTAGCATTCATTTTTTTAGTTTGGCCATATCTAGAATACATACATTAATATATATAAAATTACAATTATATCAATATAATATTTATAAGGATGAGGTTAACATTAATAATATTAGTAACATAATAATAATAACGCAAAATAAAAAAAATAATATACAGATAAATATATAATATATAATAAAATAAATTAATATAAAAGTTTATCATTTATCACCTGACTAATAAACGTCTTGCTTGATAATCTAAACAATTACTGCATGAGACGAGTTCGCGAAAAGCATTTGATCCTGGAAACCATGCTTCTAAATCTAATTTCTTTGAAGCAGCATTGTTTAATGCACCTGATACTATGTTTACTATACGATAAGGAATTTCCAATGATTTATAAAATTCTTCTGCATTTGAAATCATTTCTTCCATCATTTGCCAAGATTTATTATCATATGGTGATGTTAAACAGAATTGCTCCACCTATTATCCATTTATATTTATAATATGCAAATTTGTTATATTTTTTATATAAGTAAAATTAAAGTTGCACTTGCTTTTTCGAATTGATGAACTCTAAAAATGCCTCTCGTATCACGTCCATGAGATCCAACTTCTTGTCTAAAACATGTGGATAATCCTGCATATTTAATTGGTAAAATATTTTCAGGAATCCATTCATTTCTATGAAATGCAGCTATTGGTTGTTCAGAAGTAGCAATCAGATATTTTTCTTCAATTTCTTTATCTTCATTGCGTTCACTACCTTTACCAATTACCTAAAAATAAGGTAAAACTTTAAGCAAAATCATTAATGTTTATATATTTATATTTATATATATAATTATCAATCCTATACTTTATATAATTCTTCGTCAAATTGAGATAATTGTGCTACTTCTTGCATAACATCCTTACGCATAAAGAATGGCGTATAAAGTGGTTTGTAACCATTTATATATAATTTTCTAAGAGCTAATTGAATTAATGCATGTTGCAGAAAAACTGCTGGTCCTATTAAAAAATAACCACGCCCCCCTGAAACAGTAGTACCACGTTCTCCATCTATACCATCAATCATATGTATTAAATCAACATGAGAGTATTTTTTTTTTTGCATACAATCTCCATATGTTCTCTCGACCTAAAAATAAAAAAGATATTTTTATTCATTATTAATATATAAAAATCCATTATATTAAATTATATAATAATTTAATATACTTTATTTTCTTCTTCATCATTACTAATTGGTACAGATTCATGTAAAATATTTCCTATTTCCTTAAGTGCGTGATTTCTTTCAAACTCAATTAAAATTAAGTTTTTATCATTAGTTCGAATAGCATCATCGATAAAACTACGAACAGTCTTAATTTGTGCAACTGTTAGCGATTTCAGGTTATTAGGGATCAAATTTTCCAGATTTTCAAGAATATCTTTTGAGACAGTATCGTCACCGTCTACTGCTTCTTTTTTTTTCATTTTCTCTCCAATTTCTTTACTACATACATTTTTTAATTTATTTAAATTATCAGCTTTATGTCGCAGCTGACGCCAAATTTTATCTTTCTCAATCACTGTGTCGACTAAATTTACATCTTTAAAACGATTTTTTTGGTTTTCTCTTATTTTATCAGGATCGAAACCTTTATCTTTTCGAAATAAATCTAAATCTAACACCATGATAATTAATAATGTCAAAATCCTATTCCTATTAAATTACACGTGGATTCAATCAGATACGTCAATAAAGACACACATGCTCCAACTCAACACCGCTCACTACTCGTATTTCGTGTTCTGACACTGGTAACTGGTGCATTGGTGACGTACATACGCACGCGTATTTAATATTTAAAGCATTCAAAGTAAATATGAGTGCTAATCTTAAGTAAATATTTTAGGGTATATTATATTATATATAAAAATAATACTTAACTTAATACAATACTCTTTGCATTTATCTTTCCTTCTTTTTTCTAAAAAGCTTTCGTTTAATTTATTACTTTTCGTTAAAAAGACAAGGTTTTCTTTCATAGAAGAAAAACAAGTTTACGTCGATACATATAGAATTTTATATTTTTTGAATATTTCTTCAATTTCATAATAAAATACAAAGTAAATAATTGACAATTTTTAATAAGATAATTATGAAATATAAAAAAATTAAATTGTTAAATTATCAATGACAAAAAAGTTATATGTTTTCAATATAATTTTCTAATTTTTCATTTTATTAAGAAAAGAAAAACAATAGAAAAACTTTATAATAACAATAGAAAAAAAAATAGCAGAGGTCAGAATTACACTTGTTTCAAGTTTTTTTTAATCTTTCGTTAAGAGCACGAAAGTATGTATTTTATTAATTTTGCGCATGCGCATCATCATAATTCGTAAAAAGAGTACAAGAACTTAGAATATCACGGTATACATTGATAACGTTCGAATTTTTCGGCCAAGGAAACTTTAATTAATAGGAGGATAATAAGTCGTAAGTTTATTGTAATGAATGGAAAATCAGGTATAGTGTAAGCAGGAAAACTGTGGATTCGTATAGTCAGGTTGGTTGTAACTTTCGCATACAATTTTAATCTTTAATGACATAACCTGATGCGCTTGTCAAATGATTAGTAAATTTAAAATAAATAGTTTTTTTCATAAATCAAAATAATAATTTGCAAACTGTTTATAAAAATATCGATAAAATTGATTGAGTTTAAACATGTTTAAATTATATGACAAATGTACATATATGTTAAATATTTTTAATATTTTTCTTCCTATTTCATTTAATAGCTGTCTATCATAAATAGAATAAGGAATCACAAACTTATTAATGAAATGTGTAACTTGGAATATTTTATATGTATGTTTTTCATTCAAGTATATAATGTTAATTTATGGATATTTTATACATTTGAAATTCTTTTTTCAGATACGGTATAGTAATAGATTTTCCAACAAAACATTGGGGCATATTTATGTTGATATAAGGCATATTTATATATGTAAAAGCCCAATACAACTAAAAGGCGTACAACTCTACGCTATACCGGTGAGTTCCAACACAAAATATTGCTTGGTAGTACGGCGGACACTCAAAGCCAACTAACCATGTCTGTACAAAGTGTTGCTCTGGCATCTCTCACGGCCACCTATACCGACTCGGAGGGCGAAGACGGGGTGGAAGACGACCTTCAGGAGAATTCGAACACTCCCCAGGGGGCCGCCCCGCATAATGCCCAAGTCGGTCAGCCCCAGGCTTTCACCAGTCCCAAATCTGGCACATCAGCCTCAAATAGTCCCGTTGTTGCTCCCAACGTCGGTGGCAAGTCTAGTAACGATTTGTCGAACGCGCCCACCTTAGTAACAGATGTGACATCTAAGGTGCAGAGATTGGTTTCATACTTTGATGATTCAATAGTCTCCGATGACGAGGGAGTGGTACAGACACAGATCGATGGACAGCCTTTTGAAAATGGAAGGCCCTCCTCGATTATGGAATGCTCTCCCTGTTGTCAAGGAGAACAATTAGTTTCAGATAGCGAGGTGGACTCCTATGGCGTCACTATACCACCAGAGCCACCAGGGCAGTGTCCTGTGGAACTGCAGGAAAAAATAACAAAACTTTTTAGGAAAATGGAGAGCAGTGGTTTGGATATGAACAAAGTTATTCAACAAAGGAAGGATTTTAGAAATCCATCCATTTATGAAAAGCTAATTCAATTTTGTAGCATCAATGAATTGGGTACTAATTATCCTCCAGACAGATTTGATCCATTTAAGTGGGGTAAAGACTCGTATTATGAGGAACTTGCCAAAGTTCAAAAAACTGAGATGGATAAACTTGAAAAGGCTAGGAAAGAGAAAACAAAAATTGAAATCGTTTCTGGTACAGCTAAACGACCCAATAATTCTAGTACAACAGACGATGATGCTAAAAAAAGGAAAAGTAAATGGGATCAAGTTGCAACAGGAGCTACTGCCTCGATAAAACCAACTGTTTTGTTGTCTCAACCAACTCTTACTACTTTAACATCGTCTGCAACTGGTACCAAAGCAACGGTAATATCTGCTTTTGGATCTTTACCAAAGAAAAGACTGTAACATACACTGTAAATCATTTGTAAATATTATGTTTTTCGAAAAAGCAACACTTCATTCTTCATTTAATATTACACCATATACAGCGAGTTTTATAGAAAAGTGCAGCAAATTTCATGCATGAATTTGTATACAGATTCACACAGTATGCCTATATTCGTATTTAATTATTGGCTTTATTGAATTTAGTGATTCAACATTTAATTTCATGAGATAAAGCATTTTGAAAGTATATCAATAGTATGAGATTACTATCTTTACCAATAAGGATAACTGAATAAAAAAGAAAAAAAATAATAAAAGCTAAGGAAGAAGGATTCTGGAATTAAATGGCAAGTGGAATAATGTGTTCCACTATTGAGTTCTTTTACCACTTTTTTTCTCTGTAAAATATTTTGAATTTAAGATACATTTTGATATTCATCATCTTTACGTGATATTTTTTCTATGCTAATAATATGTTAATGGATTGAAAGAAAAGTAAAAGTAAAAAAAAAAGAAAGAAAACGAAAACAACGATAACTTTAATATAAAAGGAATTCTTTTTCTTCTTGTGAATATGCATATTTGTAGATATATACACATAAATGCTGGTCAGTGAAACTTTTTTAAGTATTTTTATTTTATGAATCGACGAATAATGTAAAATATGTACATTATAACATGTGCTGCCATCACGAATAATTTGAATCTTTTTCAATTTAGATTAACATTGAAAAAATAATTATTATTTATAATCATAATTGTAAGAAATAAGTTCATTGATACAAAATTAGAATTGATTTAATTTCTTGTAAATCAAAATAAATGATTATTAGTGATACTTTTATACGAAAGATTTGTATGTTTAGAAATCCAATGTCCCATAGCTAAATAAATGTGAAAATCATATACAAGTTGACTGACATAATGGAATAAATAAATCTCTTTTCTGATTATAATTAAAAAAGCAAAATGTTTAAAAGATAAGGAAAAATATATATATATGTATGTATGCATCTATATTTTTTGAAATGCAACAAATTTTTTTTTTGACATAATTGAATTCCTTATATTATTCTATGTAGATAAATATTAAAGTAACATAATTAAAAAATAATTAGTTTGAGAAATGTTTTCAATAAATGTTTTCATTAAAGAAGAAATATGTGCATTTAAAATATAACTATGGTAGTCATTTTATCTATAATAAATGTAAAAAAAAGAAGATTAATAATTCTCACTTTTTAAATAGTATTTTTCTTATTTAGATATTTTTTTAACTTGAATAATATTTTAGATTTTATATTTTTCTTACATAATTATATTTAAAAAATAATGAATTCAAAGAAAAAAATTTTATATGCTTTGCTCGTAATATATATATATATAAATATATATTTTCGTTTTTTATTATAAATAATAATAATAATTAAATTAATGATAAAATTTTATTCTATATATTTTATTTATTTTTAAAATTATCTCTTATTGATAATTCATTCGCATCTGTTCAAGAATTAGTTAATTTCATTTTTAAAATTTTGCCTGAAAAATGTTTTTTTTGCTCGGAAATGAAATTAGAATCATTTTTGGTTATCCATTTTTGCCATCTGATAAATTGATTTATTCTGAGATAATCCTATATTTATGGATTTATTGTTGTATAAATAACAATAAATACGTATTAATCATATAATTAAAAAAAAGACCTTTCCTATTTTGAATTTCTAG